GGCCTCAGAGAAGCCTCTCAGAGGCCTCGCTGAGTCCTCGTAGAGGGCTCGGCCTCCCCGAGTCCCCTAGGGAAGCCTCTCAGAGAAGCCTCTCTGAAGTCTCAGAGAAGCAAGCCTCTCAGAGAAACCTCCCACAGGCCTCAGAGAAGCCTTTCGGAGAAGCTCCTGAAAAGGCTTCAGAGAAGCATGTTCAAACATAAAGGCCTCATAAAAGCTTCTCAGAGGCCTCGCTGAGGCGTCTCAGAGGCATCGCTGAGAGTTTGGCAGAAGCTCTTCAGAAGCTATTCAGCTGCTCTGCAGAAGCTCTTCAGGTGCTCTGCAGAAGCTCTGCAGAAGCTCTACAGGTGCTCTTCAGAAGCCCATGCAGAAGCTCTGCAACAGCTCTTCGGAAGCTCTGCAACAACTCAGCAGAAACTTGGCATAATCTCAGCGAGAGCTCTTCAGGTGCTCTGCAGAAGCTCTGCAGAAGCTCTGCAGAAGCTCAGCAGAAGCTCTGCAGAAGCTCTTCAGAAGCTCTGCAGGAGCTCTACATAATATCGGGAGCTCTGCAGAAGCTCAGCAGAAGCTCTGCAGAAGCTCAGCAGAAGCTCTGCAGAAGCTCAGCAGAAGCTCTTCAGGTGCTTAGCAGAAGCTCTTCAGAAGCTTTTCAGGTGCTCTGCAGGTGCTCTGCAGAAGCTCTTCAGAAGTTCGGCAGAAGCTCTGCAGAAGCTCTGCATAAGCTTTGCATAAGCTCTTTAGAAGCTCTGCAGAAGCTCTGCAGAAGCTTTCCAGAAGCTCTTCGGAAGCCCCGCGGAAGCTTTGCAGACGCTCCGCAGAAGCAGCAGGAGCTCAGCGCAAGCTCAGCAGAAGCTCAGCAGAAGCTCAGCAGACGCTCTGCATAGGCTTTTGGATCGGTTGCAACCCCGTGTTCTCCGCAGAGATTTGTATAGGAATCCTTCAGGTTGCGATCCGTCCGTTTCCAGTGTTTGTAATCTCACCGAGGTAGTTTCTGAACAGTCCGAAGTGGTTGTGATCGGTCTTATTCTCGGGGGATGGTAGGTTTCGGGTGAGGAAGTGTCGTGTATGGGGGTCTTGAGAACTGAGTTCTCGTGGCGTGGGGGTGACGGGCGTGGTGACGGCGGGGGTGGGCGGTGGGTTTCGGGCGAGAAAGCGTCGGGTGGGGGGTCCCAAGAATTGAGCTCTCGTGGCGTCGGGGTGCCAGGGCGTGGTGGGGGCGGGGAGGAGGCGTTGGTGGGTTTCGTGCGAGAATGTGTCGGGTGGGGGGCCTCTAGAATTGAGCTCTCGTGGCGTCGGGGTGCCGGGGCGTGGAGGAGGCGGGGCGGGGGCGTTGGTGGGTTTGGGGCGCGAAAGTGTCGGGTGGAGGGTCCCACGATCTGAGCTCTCGTGGCGTCGGGGTGCCGGGGCATCGTGGAGGCGGGGGGGGGGGGCGTTGTGGGTTTTCTTTCGCCACACACAAGCCACCGTGGGGGGTCCCAAGAACTGAGCTCTCGTGGCGTGGAGCTGCCAGGGCGTGGTGGAGGCGGGGTGGTGGTGGTGGGTTTCGGGCGAGAAAGTGTCGCGTGGGGGTCCTAAGAACTGAGCTCTCGTGGCGTGGGGGTGCGGAGACGTGGTAGAAGCGGAGGGGGGGGGCGTTGGTGAGTTTCGGGCGAGAAGGCGTCCGGTGGGGGGGTCCCAAGAATTGAGATCTCGTGGCGTGGAGGTGCCGGGACGTGGTGGAGGCGAGTGGTTGTGGTGGTGGGTTTCGGGCGAGGAAGTGTCGTTTGGGGAGTCAGAAGAATTGAGCTCCCGTGGCCTCGGGTGTCTGGGACGTGGTGGAGGTGGGGTGGGGGGCGTTGGTGGGTGTCGGGCGAGAAAGTCGGGTGGGGTGCCCCAAGAATTGAGCTCTCGAGGCGTGGGGGTGCTGGGGCGCGGTGGGAAGGGGGGAGGGGGTTTGGTGGGTTTCGGGCGAGAAAGTGCCGTGTGGGGGGTCCTAAGAGCTGCGCGCGCGTGGCTGGGGAGTGCCAGGGCGCGGTGGGTGTCGGGCGAGAAAGTGCTGGGTGGGGGGTCCCAAGAACTGAGCTCTCGTGGCGTCGGGGTGCCTGGGCGTGGAGGAGGCGGGGGAGGGCGTTGGTGGGTTTCGGGTGAGAAAGTGTCGCGTGGGGGGTCCTAAGAACTAACTGAGCTCTCGTGGCGTGGGGGTGCCGGGATGTGGTGGGGGCGGGGGGGGCGCCTTGGAGGGTTTCGGGTGAAAAAGTGTCCGGTGGGGGTCCCCAAGAACTGAGCTCTCGTGGCGTGGGGGTGCCGGGGCGTGGTGGAAGCGGGGAGGAGGGGGCGTTGGAGGGTTTCGGGGGAGAAATGTATCGGGTGGGTCCCAAGAAATGAGCTCTCGTGGCGTGGTTGTGCCGGGACGTGGTGTAGGCGGGGGTGGTGGTGGGCTTCGGGCGAGAAATTAAGTGTCGTGTGGGGGTCCCAAGAACTGAGCTCTCGTGGCGTCGGGGTGCTGGGGCGTGGTGGAGGCGGGGGGGGGGCCTTGGAGGGTTTCGGGCGAACAAGTGGTCGGTGGGGGTCCCCAAGAACTGAGCTCTCGTGGCGTGGGGGTGCCGGGGCGTGGTGGAAGCGGGGAGGAGGGGGCGTTGGAGGGTTACGGGGGAGAAATGTATCGGGTGGGTCCCAAGAAATGAGCTCTCGTGGCGTGGTTGTGCCGGGACGTGGTGTAGGCGGGGGTGGTGGTGGGCTTCGGGCGAGAAATTAAGTGTCGTGTGGGGGTCCCAAGAACTGAGCTCTCGTGGCGTCGGGGTGCTGGGGCGTGGTGGAGGCGGGGGGGGGAGCGTTGGTCGATTTCGGGCGAGAAAGGTGTCCGGTGGGGGTCCCAAGAATATGAATTTTGCAGGGTGGGTGCACCTGATTACAGAGCAGTCGTGCACTGGGGTTACCTGGGCATGGTGGAGGAGCTAGAACGGGAAGGAACGGGGGCGTGCCCCAGCTTGATTGTACACGCCTCTGGGGTCGGCGGATTTTTGCAAGGACCGATTCAGTGCGACCAATGGCTGCGGGATGTAAAGTGGGAGTTGTAGCGTTGTGGGCTTGCCTTCTCCTGGGCAATCAAACATCGCCCTGACACAGGAGCTTCCAGACAGCCAGTTCAATTTCAGTTGGAAAGCGTTTTCGTTTGTTCCCACCGCGCTCGTGATCATTTCAAGACTCTTGCTCTGACCTGCCTGGCGAAATTGTGTTGGTCAGCTGCTCGCGTTCTTTGGGGCGGCGGGGGCCGGGCCTTCGCGTTATTTAGTGCTTCCTCGCGGGATGAGGGAGAACGCCAGAGATTGAGCGAGAAACGCACACAGCCAGCAATCTGTTACTTCTCTGCGTAGTTTTTCGTGTGAAGATCCAGGAACCGCGCACGTTTCTGCATCTACAGAGGCGTTGCCAGCCCATTCAGACTTTCTGTTGTTGAGATCCCAATTGCTACCTTCAGTCAGGAGGCTTCAGGGTAGTCGTCGCACATGGCAGCCGCACAGATGGATGATTTGGGCCCCAGAATCGAGGACACAACACTTTAGGCACGGTCTGGTCTGACCACAGTAAGTATCATGTCCGACATATGCGTCGACCTCATATTGCTTCTTTGAAGCCAGATGTGCATGTCACCCAGACTGCGCGCACGCACATAGTGGTCCATTGACCAATGCATCACCATTGCTCCGTGTGTTTCTTTCACGGTTCGCCGCTGGCCAGGTGAAGCTGGCGGCCACTGTACTCTTTAGTATCCCGACTGGTTCTCAGCTGACTGGGGCCGAGCCGACAGACGCTTACCACACGTCTATCATCTTGAACAGCGCTTATGAATTAGTTTTTAGCTCTAGAGGGAGGGCGGAGGGGGAGTATGCAAGCGACCAGGTATTGAGGCAAAAGTTGATGCACGTGTTCTTTAGTTTTGTTTTTGCAGAGGCATGTTTTTTTGTCTGTGAAGGTGAGGCAGGAGGATGCAAATCGGTGGGTCGGCCAATGAAGGGGCAATTGTGACGCCATGCCGTTAGAGAACACATGGGATGGATACGGTGAGTAAGTCGTTAGTCAAGGATGGGTGAACGGATGGATCATTATCCGGGACATGTTTTGCGTATGTTGTACATGTGAGACGCAATCAGATTTATTGGGCTTTCATTTGCCAGAAGTATAAAGAGGGGGGCAGGGTGATGCGATTACCACCCTTCGAAAGTCACAGGAATCTGAATCACGAACTTCTAATCGAAGATGTTGGGCATTCCTACGTCGACGTTGCCGAGATGATGCGCAACGTGTTGCCGTATTTTAAGCCTGGGACGTATGATCTTATTCGGAAGAATTGCAATTCGTTCACAGGAAACGTTGGGCATGCAACTCGGTATGATGCAGCTTCCGGGTTTCGATGTCCATGGCCGCGAAGACGAGTGCTCGAGAAGAACGATGTTTTAGCAATGTTCGTCGTCATCATACCGTTTACTGTCATGCGTGTTGAAACTATGTTTCGGTTGTCAGCACCGATTCGGCAGTATCGTATCCTTTTGCTTCACCTATTTGTCACATCAGTTTGGCTTGTATTTCTTCAGGCACGTCATTGTGTAAATTGCAGAGTGTGCATGGTCCTGCATGCGCAGAGGAGTGGGGTGATAGCATGATGGCCGTTGTAAGTGGGGCAACAGAGCATACGTGCGTCGCATATGTAAGGGCTTCTGCATCCTCAGCGAACGCCCAAACACAGTCCGGGGCGTTTGCAATAGAGTTTGTTTCGCTATCCTTCGCGTATATGATGGCGTAGTGCTGGAGTTTCTGTGTTAGTATGAGCGCGCAGTGGCGATCAGCATGCATGTGCGCAAGTTCATGCAGTCCGGTCGAGCTCAGTACGTACAGACACATCTAATGTGTGCATTGTCGCGTTAACCAGACAGCTGACGACCACCATGTGATTGGGAGATTGCGCATTATTTTTCTTGTTGGGGATACGATTGGACCCCAAGTACCGCGTACTCGACAGATTATGTAAGTGGGGGCAAAACTCTTTTGGCTTAGTGGACGGGCTGAAGCTCATCGGTTCCGCGGGGGGTCATCTCATTGAGATGCGATCATCAGCAAACTTCGATCATCAGCAAAATTGAAGACGCCTGCGGCGAATCACCGCCGCCCCCTGCCTTTTGGCATTGCCCATGTGGCCGAGAGGCCCCAAGAGCTCCCCAAGAAGCCCCAAGGGGGCCCCCAAGAGGCGTCCCAAGAAGCCACCAGGAGGCCAACATCATTGATTTCCGATGGGGAGATGAATATATTTAACATACAAGGCTTTTCGGCTTTCACGGCGTTGAAGACGGTCCAAGAGGCCCCAAAGACCGCCCCAAGGCGGCCCAAGAGGCTCCCAAGAGGCTCCCCAAACGGCCCAAGAGGGCGCCACGACGGCCCAAGAGGCGCCCAAGACGGCCCAAGAGGACCCCAAGACGGCCCCAAGAGGGGGACCACGCACCGAAAAGTCTAGCCTTTCGCTCCAAGAAGCTCCCAGGAGGCCCCCAGAGCCCCCCAAGAAGCCCCAGGAGGCCCCCCAGAGGTTCCCAAGATGCCTCCAAAAAGGCCCGAAAAGGGCTCCAATAGGACTCCCAAGAAGGCCCAGAGACGCCAAATAAAGAGCGATCGGTGACGCAAAAAGCTCTTCACACCAAGGCTCCCAAGAGCGAACGGTGACGTAAACAAGCTGATAAGACCAAGGCTCCCAGCAGAGAGCGGTGACGTAGCAAGTTCCTGACACCAAGGCCCAGCCAAGGCTCAGGAACGGGCGGCATCGCAACAATCTCTGAACACCAAGGCTCCCAAGAGCGAGGGGTGACGTAACAAGCTCTCAACGCAAGGCTCCCAGTACGAACGGTGGTGTGAGCAATTTCGGTTTCTGTTTCTGAAGCGCTCTTTCCGTTTCTGAGCCGGGCCAGGTAACGCAAAGAGCGAGGTATGAGTGATGACGTTCTGGTGTAGGGCGAAGCCCCTGAGGGTGGGTGCAGGGGGGGGGGGGGGAATGCGTGTTAATGGCCGTTTTCGGGTTTTCCCTCGGGTTTTTGCATGTTTTTTCGGGTTCCTCTCCAAGACGGCCCAAGAGCGCTCCAAGAGAGCCCAAGACCACCCAAGACGGCCCAAGAGGCCCTCAAGAGGCCCCCAAGATGCGCCCAAGGGGCGTCCCAAGAGGGCCCCAAGATGCCAACATCATTGTTTTTCCTAAGGAGCATTTTTTGTTTTCTATCGATACATATATATATATATTATATATATATATATATATTATATATATATATATATATATAATACAATTATATATTATATTATATATATATATATATATATATAAAACACAAAAAGCATATACGGCTTTTCGGCTTTCACGGCGTTGAAGACGGTCCAAGAGGCCCCCAGTACCGCCCCACGACGGCCCAAGAGGCTCCCAAGAGGCAGCCAAAACCGCCCAAGAGGGCCCCAAGACGGTCCAAGAGGCGCCCAAGACGGCCCAAGAGGGCCCCAAGACGGCCCTAAGAGGGGGACCACGAACCGAAAAGTTTAGCCTTTCGCCCCAAGACGCCCCAGGACCCCCCAAGAAGCCCCAAGAGGCCCCCAAGAGGCTTCCCAAGAGGCCACCAGGAGGCCAAATTCATTGATTTCCTATGGGAAAACGTACATCTTTAGCATACAAGGCTTTTCGGTTTTCACGACGTTGAAGACGGTCCAAGAGGCCCCGAAGACCGCCCCAAGACGGCCCAAGAGGCTCCCAAGAGGCTCCCCAAACGGCCCAAGAGGGCGCCACGACGGCCCAAGAGGCGCCCAAGACGGCCCCAAGAGGGGGACCACGCACCGAAAAGTCTAGCCTTTCGCCCCAAGAAGCTCCCAGGAGGCCCCCAGAGCCCCCCAAGAAGCCCCAGGAGGCCCCCCAGAGGTTCCCAAGAGGCCTTCGAAAGGGCCCGAAAAGGGCCCCAATAGGACTCCCAAGAAGGCCCAGAGACGCCAAATAAAGAGCGATCGGTGACGCAAAAAGCTCTTCACACCAAGGCTCCCAAGAGCGAACGGTGACGTACACAAGCTGATAAGACCAAGGCTCCCAGCAGAGAGCGGTGACGTAACAAGTTCCTGACACCAAGGCCCAGCCAAGGCTCAGGAACGTGCGGCAACGCAACAATCTCTGAACACCAAGGCTCCCAAGAGCGAGGGGTGGCGTAACAAGCTCTCAACGCAAAGGCTCCCAGTACGAACGGTGGTGTGAGCAATTTCGGTTTCTGTTTCTGAAGCGCTCTTTCCGTTTCTGTGCCGGGCCAGGTAACGCAAAGAGCGAGGTATGAGTGATGACGTTCTGGTGTAGGGCGAAGCCCCTGAGGGTGAGTGCAGAGGGGGGGGGTAGGGCGACGGAATGCGTGTTACTGGCCGTTTTCGGGTTTTCCCTCGGGTTTCTGCATGTTTTTCGGGTTCCCCCCCAAGACGGCCCAAGAGCGCTCCAAGAGAGCCCAAGACCGCCCAAGACGGCCCAAGAGGCCCCCAAGAGGCCCCCTAGAGGCCCCCAAGAGGCGTTCCAAGAGGGCCCCAAGAGGACAATCTCATTGATTTCCGATGGGGAAACGTATTTCTTTAGCATGCAAGGCTTTTCGGCTTTCACGGCGTTGAAGACGGTCCAAGAGGCCTCCAAGACCGCCCCAAGACGGCCCAGGAGGTTCCCAAGAGGCCTCCAAAACGGCCCAAGAGGGCAAGACGGTCCAAGAGGGCGCCAAGACGGCCCAAGAGGCGCCCAAGACGGCCCCAAGAGGGGGACCACGAACCGACAAGTCCAGCCTTTCGCCCCAAGATGCTCCCAGGAGCCCCCCAGAGCCCCCCAAGAAGCCCCAAGAGGCCCCCAAGAGGCGTCCCAAGATGCCACCAGGAGGCCAAAATGATTGATTTCCGATGGGAAAACGTATTTCTTTAGCATGCAAGGCTTTTCGGCTTTCACGGCGTTGAAGACGGTCCAAGAGGCCCCACAGACCGCCCCAAGACGGCCCAGGCTCCCAAGAGGCCACCAAAACTGCCCAAGAGGGCGCCAAGACGGCCCAAGAGGCGCCGAAGACGGCCCAAGAGGGCCCCAAGACGGCCCCAAGAGGGGGACCACGCACCGAAAAGTCTAGCTTTTCGCCCCAAGAAGCTCCCAGGAGGCCCCCAGAGCCCCCCAAGAAGCCCCAGGCCTCCAAAAGGGCCTGAAAAGAGCCCCAATAGGACTCCCAAGAAGGCCCAGAGACGCCAAATAAAGAGCGATCGGTAACGCAGAAAGCTCTTCACACCAAGGCTCCCAAGAGTGAACGGTGACGTAAACAAGCTGATAAGACCAAGGCTCCCAGCAGAGAGCGGTGACGTAACAAGTTCCTGACACCAAGGCCCAGCCAAGGCTCAGGAACGGGTGGCAACGCAACAATCTCTGAACACCAAGGCTCCCAAGAGCGAGGGGTGACGTAACAAGCTCTCAACGCCAAGGCTCCCGGTACGAACGGTGGTGTGAGTAATTTCGATTTCTGTTTCTGCAGCGCTCTTTCCGTTTCTGTGCCGGGCCAGGTAACGGAAAGAGCGAGGTACGAGTGATGAGGTTTTGGTGTGGGCGAAGCCCTAAAGGGAGGGGTTCCAGGGGAGGGGGGCAGGGCGAGGGAATGGGCGTGAATGGCCTTTTTCGGGTTTTCCCCTGGGTTTTCGAATGTTTTTCGGGTTCTTTCCTTTTTCGTCCCAGAAGGACCCTAGACGGCCCAAGAGGCCCCAAAGATCGGCCCAAGAGGCCCCCAAGACGCCCCAAGAGGCTTCCAAGAGGCGCCCCAACAGGGTCCCAAGAGGCCAACATCATAGATTTTCAATAGGAAAGCGTACATTTTTAGCATGTGCGGCTTTTCGGCTTTCACGGCGTTGACGACGGCCCAGGAGGCCACCAGGAGGCCCAAATCATGGAATTCCGATGGGAAAATGTACCTTTTGAGCATACCCGGCTTTTCCTCTCACGGCGTTGAAGCGGTCCAAGAGGCCCCCAAGACCGCCGCAAGACGGCCCAAGAGGCTCCCAAGAGGCTCCCAAGAGGCCCCCAAAACGGCCCAAGAGGGCCCCAAGACGGCCCCAGAGGCGTCCAAGACTGCCCCAGAGGGCCCCAAGACGGCCCCGAGAGGGGGACCGCGAACCGAAAAGTCGAGCTTTTCGCGTCAAGACGCGCCCAGGAGGCCCAAAGAGACTCCCAAGAAGCCCCAAGAGGCCCCCAAGAGGCCCCCAAGAGGCTTCCAAAAGGGCTCCAAAAGGGCCCCAATTAGGACTCCCAAGAAGGCCCAGAGACGCCAAGTAAAGAGCGCTCGGTAACGCAAAAAGCTCTTCACACCAAGGCTCCCAAGAGCGAACGGTGACGTAAACAAGCTGATAAGACCAAGGCTCCCAGCAGAGAGCGGTGACGTAACAAGTTCCTGACACCAAGGCCCAGCCAAGGCTCAGGAACGGGCGTCAACGCAACAATCTCTGAACACCACGGCTCCCAAGAGCGAGGGGTGACGTAACAAGCTCTCAACGCCAAGGCTCCCGGTACGAACGGTGGTGTGAGTATTTTCGGTTTCTGTTTCTGCAGCGCTCTTTCCGTTTCTGTGCCGGGCCAGGTAACGGAAAGAGCGAGGTACGAGTGATGACGTTTTGGTGTGGGCGAAGCCCTAAAGGGAGGAGTTCCAGGGGAGGAGGGTAGGCCGTTTTCGGGTTTTCACTTTGGTTTTTGCATGTTTTTCGGGTTCCCCCCCAAGACGGCCCAAGAGCGCGCCAAGAGAGCCCAAGGCCGCCCAAGACGGCTCAAGAGGCCCCCAAGAGGCCCCAAAGAGGCGCCCAAGGGGCGTCCCAAGAGGGCCCCAAGAGGCCAACATTTTCGGCTTCCCATACGACAGCGTACATTTTTAGCATATACGGCTTTTCGGCTTTCACGGCGTGGACGACGGCCCAAGAGGCCCCCAAGACCGCCCCACGACGGCCCAAGAGGCTCCCAAGAGCCAAGAGGCCCCCAAAACGGTCCAAGAGGGCCCCCAGACGGCCCCAGAGGCGCCCAAGACGGCCCAAGACGGCCCCAAGACGGCCCCAAGAGGGGGACAACGAACCGAAAAGTCTAACCTTTCGCCCCAAGATGCTCCCAGGAGGCCCCCAGAGTCCCCAAGAAGCCCCAAGAGGCCCTCAAGATGCGTCCCAAGAGGCCACCAATAGGCCAAAAGCATGGATTTCTTCCTATGGGAAAGGAAGCATGTTTAGCATACGCGGCTTTTCGGCTTTCACTGCGTTGAAGACGCTCCAAGAGGCCCCAAATACCGCCCCAAGACGGCCCAAGAGGTTTTCAAGAGGCCCCCCAAACGGCCCAAGAGGGCGCCAAGACGGCCCAAGAGGCGCCCAAGACGGCCCAAGAGGGCCACCAGAGGGGGACCACGAACCGAACAGTTTAGCTTTTCGCCCCAAGAGGCTCCCAAGAGGCCCCCAGAGCCCCCCAAGAAGCCTCAAGAGGCCCCCAAGAGGTTCCCAAGATGCCTCCAAAAGGGCTCCAAAAGGGCCCCAATAGGACTCCCAAGAAGGCCCAGAGACGCCAAGTAAAGATCGCTCGGTAACGCAAAAAGCTCTTCACACCAAGGCTCCCAAGAGCGAACGGTGACGTAAACAAGCTGATACGACCACGGCTCCCAGCAGAGAGCGGTGACGTAGCAAGTTCCTGACACCAAGGCCCAGCCAAGGCTCAGGAACGGGCGGCAACGCAACAATCTCTGAACACCAAGGCTTCCAAGAGCGAGGGGTGACGTAACAAGCTCTCAACGCCAAGGCTCCCGGTACGAACGGTGGTGTGAGTAATTTCGGTTTCTGTTTCTGAAGCGCTCTTTCAGTTTCTGTGCCGGGCCAGGTAACGGAAAGAGCGAGGTACGAGTGATGACGTTCTGGTGTGGGCGAAGCCCCTTACGGGGGGGGTCCAGGGGAGAGGGGTACGGGGCACGAATGGGCTCTAATGGCCGTTTGGGGGGTTTTCCGTTGGCTTTTTGCATGTTTTCGGATTTTCCCTTTTTTCCGTCCCAAAAGAACCCAAGACCGCCCAAGACAGCCCCAAGACGTTCCAAGAGGCCCCCAAGACGCCCCAAGAGGCGCCCAAGGGGCGTCCCAAGAGGGCCCCAAGAGGCGAAAATCATTGATTTTCCAAAGGATGCTGTTGGATGCTGTTGGAGCGTCTTGGAGCTCTCTTGGGCCGTCTGGGGGCCGTCTTGGGCGTCTTGGAACGATTGTTCGTCGACTCGGGGCCTTCTTGGCCCGTCTTGGGAGACTCTTGGGGCCCTCTTGGCCCGTCTTAGGGGCCCTCCTGGGTCCAACAAAATAATGCGACGAGGTGCCCCTGAGCCCAGGAGGCACGCGTGGCATTTTGGGGTGTCGGCCCCTCATAGACTCCTCGGGAGTGAGGAAAAGGACCTGAGGGCACGACCACTCCGTGCCCAGAGGCACGGTGGCGGATATTACAATCTTAGCATTCGATGTGTTCTTGTTCTCAGCAAGTGGCCCTTCTCTTGCGTGTCAGAATGCTGTTTTTGCGGCAAGTATTGCGCATGCCCGTTGAATGGTGAGAGCGACGGGCAGCACGCGCTCCATCATTTTCCAATGTTCGTCCGAGTGCAATGGGTCAGATTTTCCATGGGTAATCGAGGGCCGGTATTTGACCTGCCACTGGCATGCATGCTTTGTAGCACGTACCGGAAAGCATGACGTGTCTCAGATTTTGTACGCGGATTATCCCGAGACAAGTTGCACATCGCCTGAACAGAAGTGATGGCATTCTAAGCAGTCAGCTGACGCAAGCGCGACCCCACAATTGAAAATCCACGATGATTGCTTAGGGACTCCGACATGGTTAGACAAGACTCCTAACATTTCACATGAGTTTTGCTTGGTAGACAGTACACAGGGCTTCGCGGGGGACATGGCCAGACGAGTCTTCCATCCTGTCCGCTCAGCGGCCAGATGCATTTCGGACAGGTTAGTTGCGAGGCTGGAGCCCATCACCCGTGTCGCGGGGGGGGGGGTCCTCTTTTTCTTTTGTCGTTCCCCTTTGTCCTCTTCCTCTTGCTCCTCCTCCTTCTGGTCGTCCTCGTCCTCGTCGTCCCCATCCTCGTTCTCATCCTGTGCACGGCAGCTTGTCCGAAACTGTCTTGTCCACCAGCTGGACTCGAGAGGATGCTGCATTTCGGGAATTGGAGCTTGCAGAAGAAGTGCACAACAATGTCCGATCACGCTGGGGCTCCTCCAGGGATCTGGGTCCAAGAGCCTTGGCAGTTCGTTTTGTTGGTCTCGACCTGTCGGGCTCGACCAGCGAGGACTGGTGCACAGTGCACTTCGGCTGGAGTTTACTTCTCTAGTACTGTTGGGGGATCGGCTTGCGTGTGAATGGCGCTGCTTTCGGATTTCGAGATGCGTTTTTCGTGGCTGGTGGTACTTTTGTGGTCACACGCGAAGTAGTGAGTGGAGGCCTCCAGTACGAGGAGAATCCCGCAGCGGCCGATTTCAAGGCTGGTGCAGTCATCGAAAGGCAGGTTTGGGGAGCCCGGGAACGGTAGATCAGCAGTAGTGTCATGCTCAGGCCTCCCTTCATGTTTCATGCAAGGATAATCGGTGGACGGTGGTGGTAAGTGATTCTTTATAATCTTTTGTGAAGAAGGCGCAGTCGCTCGATCTTGTATTGAGAGGAGTCCTACTTCCTGAAAGCCTAGCGTCTCATCCGAAACCAGTTCATCTGGACGAGTTCATCCGATATGAGTTCATTTGGACGAGTTCGTCCAGAATTTTCAGGACGAGATCATCCGAAGACGATTTCATCCAGAGACGAGATTACCCACAGACAAGTGCATCCGGACGAGTTCACTGGGCAATTTTATGAGGACGAGTTTGTCCGGAAGAGCGTTCTACTGGATGAACTCGTCGCGGAAGAAATCGTTGAGGATGAATTCGTCGTCTTCCTCCGAGGGGTGGCATGCAGGTCAAGTGTGCCAGCAATGCGTGTTGTCTCCGCGCGGTCCTACGGGGCATCCTGCACATGTCCCGCCTTCCGTCTCGAGGGCATGCGCCCACGAAGTTCTGCTGGCCAGGGCAGGCCAGGGCAGCTCGGGAGGGCGGGGGAGAAGGAGGAGAAGCAAGGGGGCGGTGGGAGCGAGCGTGAGAAGAAGTGGGAGTGAAGGGGAGGGGGAGGGGAGTGGGTGAGCAGAGAGGGAAGGGAAAGGGACTTGGCTTACCGCCCCTCCCCCCCGACGCGGGTGAGTGATCGAGCTTCGCCAGTCGCATTGCGCCGACCATCGTAAGCCAGGTTGCGAGAAATGCAGGAGATGTTGCACTCACCGCCCTTCGGGCTTTTGCTCCTCTAGCTGCTTCTCCTGATCTTCCTTCTGGTTCCCCGAAGTCCAAGGGAGTGGGAGGCTAGCCAAAGTGCGGGGTATCGAGCCCGTCCGCCACGTTAATGTTCCATAGGAACCTAGCGGCGCGCACGACGGAGGTGCTCGAGTGGAAGCACTGCTCGGAAAATGATAGCGCATTGGATGACGCGCATCGGGATGAGTCAAATTTCCGATTCAGGTGGATGGAGTACCCAAGCGCGCACAGAGAGCGTCAGGGAGGTTTGTGCCACTTCTGGGAGGACGCCTAATCCATTGATGTTGTGCGCATCGACGGATGGCATTCTGGAGCGTGCAGGGTTCCACAATCGACGTGTCGGCGCGTGTATCGTAACAACGCGAATGTCGATTTACCTTTGTATTTTTCGCGTGATGTCCATCAGCAGAAGTCGAACACGCCTCCAGCGAGTCTCTGCAATCCCCCTGTGGCAGAAACGCGGGCTCTCTCGGGACTTCGGAAGAGGTTTCTTGTCGCCTCGTGGGTCGTCGTGGACTGGTACGGGGGACTCTTTAGCCTTATTGGCGATTTCATGTTCAGCCTCCTTTGGTGCTTTTTTTCCCGGAAAGGGCTCCGGCCCAGGGTTCTCTTTTAGTAGGTAAACCTAGTCCCCCGGTGCCTGCTTGAAGGAGGCCGGCGAATTTTTTCCCTGATAAATAACGAGGTCGAAGGAGGCCGGCGAATTTTTCCCTGATAAATAACGAGCCCGAGAATTAAAATTTGAGGATGTCTCGAGCGAAACGCTTGTTTTTGAGGCCGGCGAATTAAAATTTGAGGATGTCTCGAGCGAAACGCTTGTTTTTCAGAATTTCTTGAGGATGTCTCGAGCGAAACGCTGGTTTTGCAGAGTTGAGGATGTCTCGAGCGAAACGCTTGCTCCGCAGAGTTTGCCGAGGATGTCTCGAGCGAAACGCTTGTTTTGCAGAGCCGACCGCGACGCGGAAAAGCGCCCCGCGCGAAGGAATTTCGATGATGTTTCGACTAATTTGTTTGTTTTTGTACGATTTCCTGGAATTTTGGCAGGATGTCTCGAGCGAAATGCACGACCCCACCCTAGCACGACCATACCCCAGCACGACCACACCCCAGCACGACCAGACCCCAGCACGACCCCACCCCAGCACGACCCCACCCCAGCACGACCATACCCCAGCACGACCACACCCCAGCACGACCCGACCCCAGCACGACCCTACCCCAGCAAGACCACACCCCAGCACGACCACACCCCAGCACGACCTCAGCACGACCACCCCCCAGCACGACCACACCCCAGCACGACCACACACCCACTCCCCAGCACGACCAGCACGACCACACCCCAGCACGCACGACCACGCCCAGCACGACCACGCCCCAGCACGACCACACCCCAGCACGACCACACCCCAGCACGACCACCCCCAGCACGACCACCCCCAGCACGACCACACCCCAGCACGCACGACCACACCCCAGCACGACCACCCCCCAGCACGACCACCCCCCAGCACGACCACCCCAGCACGACCAGCACGACCACACCCCAGCACGACCACACCCCGCACCCAATGTTTCACGACCACGTGAGGTGTCTCGTGCGACACGACCACGCCCCAGCACGACCACCCCCCCAGCACGACCACCCCCAGCACGCACGACCACCCCCCAGCACGACCACACCCCAGCACGACCACTCCCCAGCACGACCACACCCCAGCACGACCACACCCCAGCACGACCACACCCAGTCGCACCCCCGTGGAATGTTTCGTGGCGTGTCTGGTTGAGTGGTTGCCTGTTCGTGGGGTGTCTCGTGGAATGTTTCAAAGGGTGTCTCGTGGAATGTTTCGTGAGGTGTCTCGTGGAATGTTTCGTGAGGTGTCTCGTGGGATGTTTCGCGGGGTGGCACGACCACGCCCCAGCACGACCACCCCCCCAGCACGACCACCCCCCAGCACGACCACCCCCCCAGCACGACCACCCCCCAGCACGACCACACCCCAGCACGACCACACCCCAGCACGACCACTCCCCAGCACGACCACACCCCAGCACGACCACACCCCAGCACGACCACACCCAGTCGCACCCCCGTGGAATGTTTCGTGGCGTGTCTGGTTGAGTGGTTGCCTGTTCGTGGGGTGTCTCGTGGAATGTTTCAAAGGGTGTCTCGTGGAATGTTTCGTGAGGTGTCTCGTGGAATGTTTCGTGAGGTGTCTCGTGGGATGTTTCGCGGGGTGTCTCGTGGGATGTTTCGTGAGATGTCGCCCAGTTGGGTATCGTGAAAACGTGACCATGCTGCACATGTCTTTATCCCTTTCCGGGTTCGTGGGTCCATCATGTTTCAGGCATTCTTGGAGATCTCTTGGGGCCCTGTGCCCTGTGTGGCCCGCATGGTTTTACTTGACAGGATTGACACACGCCGTTCGGTTCTCGTGCAGTAGATCTTAGATTCGAGTTGTTGTTCTTTTCCCGGAAAGGGCTCAGGCCCAGGGTTCTCTTTTAGTATGTAAACATAGTCCCCCCGTGCCCAACTTGAAGGAGGCCGGCGGATTCTTTCCCTGATAAATATCGAGGTCGAAGGAGGCCGGCGGATTAAAATTTGAGGATGTCTCAGGCGAAACGCTTGTTTTTGAAATCCCGATCGATAAATCACAGGGTGCGGGCCGCCTCAGCACGACCACACCCCAGCACGACCATGCCCCAGCACGACCACACCCCAGCACGACCCCGCCCCAGCACGACCCCACCCCAGCACGACCACGCCCCAGCACGACCACACCCCAGCACGACCACACCCCAGCACGACCACACCCCAGCACGACCCCACCCCAGCACGAGCCCACCCCAGCACGACCACACCCCAGCACGACCACACCCCAGCACGACCCCACCCAAGCACGACCACACCCCAGCACGACCACGCCCCAGCACGACCACTCCCCAGCACGACCCCGCCCCAGCACGAGCCCACCCCAGCACGACCACACCCCAGCACGACCTCACCACAGCGCGACCCCACCCAAGCACGACCCCACCCCAGCAAGACCACACCCCAGCACGACCACACCCCAGCACGACCTCACCACAGCGCGACCTCACCACAGCACGACCACACCCCAGCACGACCACGCCCCAGCACGACCACGCCCCAGCACGACCACCCCCCAGCACGGCCACCCCATCAGCACGACCACCCCCCAGCACGACCACCCCCCAGCACGACCACACCCCAGCACGACCACACCCCAGCACGACCACTCCTCAGCACGACCACACCCCAGCACGACCACACCACAGCACGACCACACCCAGTCGCACTCCCGTGGAATGTTTCGTGGGGTGTCTCGTGGAATGCCGTCGTCGTCCTCGTCCGCGATGTGCTTTGGTTGAGTGGTTGCCTGTTCGTGGGGTGTCTCGTGGAATGTTTCGCGGGGTGTCGCGTGGAATGTTTCGTGAGGTGTCTCGTGGAATGTTTCGTGAGGTGTCTCGTGGGATGTTTCGCGGGGTGTCTCGTGGGATGTTTCTTGAGGTGTCGCCCAGTTGGGTATCGTGAAAACGTGACCGTGCTCCACATGTCTATATCCCTTTCCGGGTTCGTGGGTCCATCATGTTTGATTCATATGTTTGAAGATTGAAGGGATCAGCATTGAACTGCTGAGACAACGTATGGCATTTGAGTGATTTCGACATGCGCACGCGGGGACGCTCGCGTGTGACCCGCATGGCATTAATCGATATGGGTAGTTACCAAGCGTGCTTGTTAGATCAACCCTTCTGCACCGCATGTAAGTACGTGATTGGGATGACGGAAGGGATGTTCAATACCGTTGGCCGGGAGTTGTATCAGTTGATACGGTAAATGTGCGACAATCGTGAGAATGACCATTCGAGTGTGCCTTGCCGCAAAGACTTTTAGATCCGAAGCGTGCACCAAGAAGGACAGGAAGGGGGATGGCCTCTACTTGGGTGCGCGATGCGGGGGATCGCCCTTTGCAGAGACTTGGCAGCTAGGAAGCGGTCTGACACGCCACGACGAGCCCTTGGTACGGTGGCGGTCGAGTTTGCACATTCCTGTGACCCCACCGCGCACCACAATGCGAGTGAACTCGGGCGGCACGGCGGGTGCAGGGCAGAGCAAGACCGCCTGCGGTGCGGCAGCCTCCGTTGCTGTCTTGGCGCCAGGGCCGCCCAGCATGGCCAAGTCCAGCGCGGACGGCCCCTCCCCGCACGCCCATGGCCTCCTGGCGCCCTGCCCGCACTCGCTCCGCGCGTTGGTGCTTCGGAGCCCTTTGACGGTGTGCCGCCCGAGCTGCGGTGACGCGCCGCCACGCGGCTGCCTCTTGCGGCCAGCTGCGATTCTCACCAGTGGACGTCGATGCGTTGCGGTCCCAGGTGCGCGAGCTTTAGGCTGACATGTCGTAGCTGGGGGCCCTACAAGGGAAGCAGGCAGATGCCGTGGGCGCGCAGAGTTCCCACCTTGCGCAGCTCGGCCGCCCGCTGGCCACTGGGCACCCACGGTCAGCGCCAGTACGGTGCTTCCCACGCCGCGAGGTGAGTTTATCCAGCGAGAAGCCGACATTGCCCAGGGGGCCTTCGGAGCACACGTCGCATGACGCGCTGCTGCATGCGGTACCTCCATCCAAGCTGGCCAGCGAGCTCGCGGACAGCTGGCGCGAGTTAGCCGGGCTGCCGGCGTCCTTGGAGCGGAAGGTGGAGGATACCAACGAGCTTCATTGGGCGCGTCTCGACGAGACAGCCGCGACGTCGGGAGGTTTGTCGACCCTGGAGGTTCGGCTGGAGGTCATGGAGGGGCGGCTGCCTAAGCTGGCCACGGAGCTGTATTCCAAGCTCAAGACTTCAGAGGAGAGGCCCTTCGGCGCGGTGTCGGCCATGGAGGCTGGCGTGCGCTGCGAGATGCTCAAGCTGAGTCCAGGCTGGCCGTGCTGGAGGACCAGACGCCGCGCGAGCAGGCTATGATCCTGGAAGAGCCGCAGTCGTTGGAGGCTCCTTGCCACAGCGCGCTGGCGGACAACTACCTACGCTTCACGTGACCAGCTGAGATCAGATCTGGACCTGCAGCTCGTCCAGCTGGCAGACGACATTAAAGAAGGGCGCGTTGACCCAGAGGCGAAGAGGGGCGAGAGCCTCGTGGACACCATTGCGCAGCTCGAGGATCAGGCGCGTTCGCTGGCGTGGTTGCAGGGGTGCACGGACCGACGGGCCGTGGCGCACGAGGTGGGCTTTTGCGAAGCGTTGCGAGTACGCCCGCCAGGGACTGGAGCGCTGCGTCGAGGAGGCACACGTTGCGGCGCGCAAGGGCTACGACGACCTGGCCAGGCGCCTCGAGAGCGAACTGGACTGCAGATTCCAGGCCGCCGCCGCAGACCAGGCGAGCCTCCGTGAGAGACTGGAGTGGGCGGTCGCCAGCATGCGGATAGGCTTGCCGGCACCACAGAAGCAGCTGCGCTCGGTCGAGACGGGGCTGCGCGAGCAGGGACAAGCCCTGTGCGCGCTGGAGCACGGCCTCGGCGACCCAGGCCAGCAACCGTCGTCTCAAGCGGTGTGGTTGGCATCCGCCCGCGAGCCCGCTGGGGCAACGCGCGAGAAGGACAACGAGGCGCGCGACGTGATGCGGCAACTGCTCGCGGCGCAGAGCCAGCGCGCCGACGTCCTCGCGGACGATCTGTGGGTGGGGGGGATTTCTGGGAAGTGGCGGCGCTTCTGCGGCGCGAGGCAGGTCTCGCGACCGAACAACTCGTGTTGCGGTTTGCCGCCGTGGAGCGCAGCGCGTTGGCACTGACCGCTGCGGTTGGGCGCTTGCAGAGCGCCGGCACCGACCACGCTGATGGCGTCGCGCCTGGAGCGGGCAGAGAAGCGCTTGCCGTGGCGGAGAGCCAGGGTGCCGCGGTGCTCGCTTAAGCGCAGTGTTGTGGCTTCGTGCCAGAGTGCGATCCGTCCAAGCATGTCGAGGTGGTGGTCTCCAGGACTCGGAGACCGCGGACGTGCGCAGTGCGTGAGTGGGAGCTCCAGCACGGGGAGGGAGCGCCTCTCCCAACGTATCACGCAAACTCGGGCGGAGCGCGGGGCCCTGCACGGCACCCGCACGCTGGTGGCCGTGGCGCTCCAGAGAGTACCTATCCATGCTGCCACTTGGACTGGCGCAGTGGACTCCAGCGCAGGGCGAGATCGGCTCGGCGTGAAATTCCTGGGATCCGGGTCCGAACCTTCCAGGAGGTGCGACGGGCAGCTAGTGCGAGTAAGCAAGGAGGAGAACGGAGAGATGAGGCGGCTGCCAGACAGCCTGCAAGCTACGCGCTCCTCCCCCCCCCCGGACACGCGTCGGCGCACGCAGGTCGATGCCAAGAGCGGGGGCTCGCGCCGCCGAGCGGGGGCCGCGCGCCGTGGATCCGACAACTGGAGCCCCAGGGTGGGCGCGGGCTTGAATTTGCTGGTGCCCACGGCAAGCCTCAGGGCCCCACCGACGGGCTCGTCGAGCCAAACTGCTATCGCAAAGATGACAATCTCAGCGGAAGGTGGATTTTTTCTCAAGCTGAACCGATCATATCGGATCCGCGCAGTCGATCCAAGCGACCAGATCGAATACACACGATTCGAGCCATTGCTTCTTCCTCGCATTGCTTGCACTTGGGAGATCCTGTTCCTTTAGAAAGGGTCAGGAAATGCTGGTTGCGATTTCCGCTTGCCTGCCCTAGTGCTCTATGTATGGTGCTCTCGCTGTTGTCCTATGATGTATCTGATTTAGGTAGTGCATTTTGAGATGGCGGGTGCCCTAGGATAATTTCCGCGTTATTGCCCTGCTCAGGGTGCTCTATAGCGGGTGCCATTTGATGTCGTCAATGGTTGCTGTTTTCGCGTTGTTGACCTGGTGTCTCATCGGAGGCGTTCCATGGCTGGTGCTCCATGGTGCCTTTCATGGTTGAGTTTCGTTTCGCCTCCTTGCCCTGGTACTTACTTGGTTCATGGTGTTTTAAGTCTGGTGCCCGTTGTTGCCTTTTGTCATTCCGCTGGCGGCATGTGGATGAAGCTATATTGCTGGTGCGCTATGTTGGCTCGAATACCCAAGGGACAACTCTGGCACAACCCACGGTACAACCCATGTGACAACGCATGGGACAACCGCGGAATAACCTACGAAACAAGCCACGCAACACCCCGGGGGACACACGCTGAGCAACCACCGGGCAATCCGCGGAACAACCATGGGACAGCCGCGAGGCACCGCGAAGCCCCTGGGTCATTTGCTTGTCTGACTCGGCTCTAGCCTCGTTCCCGTGCAGCTTTGCCTCGCCCGCAAGCGCGTCGCGATCTGAAGCCGAAACCCTCATAGTTCTACGTGCCCACTGGTCTCTGATCTTCTACGGTGGGAATGGTGGGTCACGTGGCTGCTCTTAGCCTCCAGTCCTCCTGCTTCATCTAAATTGAGCATGCTGGGTCGAATCAGTGCTCCTGGCCTCGAATGTTGATGGGAGGCCAGCGCGCGGAGCCTAGCCCGTCACGCTGCCGCCTGTCCGCTCTTCAGGGCGTCTTGGGGCTCCTGGTCTCCAGGTGATCCTCTTTTTATCCGTAAGGGCTTCGCCCCCTGCCGCTGGCCCCCTCTCTCGGAGAATGGGAGATGCAAAAGCTAAATCATGAGGTCTGGGCGCCGCCGTGAAGCAGTGTTGGGACCTGTCTGTTTTTCGACCCTGACCCTACGGATCTGCGTCACGGGTGCCACCGAATTTCAGAAATGTGGCAAACCCCTCGTGTTTTTGGACCCTGACCCCGCCGATCTGCGTGAGGGGTGCCACCGAATGTCAGACATGTTGCAAATCCCTTATGTTTTTGGATCCTGACCCCGCTGATCCGTGTGAGGGGTGCCACCGAATTTTAGAGACTTGGCACATCCTATATGTTTTTGGACCCTAACCCCGCCGATATGCGTGAAGGGTGCCGCCGAATTTCAGAAATGTTGCACATCCCATATGTTTTTGGACCCTGACCCCGCCGATCTGCGTGAGGGGTGTTAATTTTTACCCATCCCAGCGCAATTCAGATAATACGATTTCTCCGTGGTAAAAATATTCGTTTTGGGCCTCCCCCCCCTTCGCGCGGTCCGTCAACAAGGAACAGTAAGCAGCAAGAAGTCAACAAGGAACAGTAAGCAGCAAGAAGCAGAACTGTAACAGTGGGAACTGGAAGCTGCAACTGGAACAGGAAACTGCGAACCTCCGGCCTACAGCCTGGTGGCCCCACAAGGGGGCCGGCGGATTAATTGTTTTGCCGGTCGGCGCGGGCCCTCGCACCCCCTCTCCCCCTCCATCCCCCATGGAGTAGATCTTGGCTGTTTTTGGCTCCTGTTTCGAGCAGGTGGGGTCCCCCCCACAGGACGCACTGTTGCAAACAGTCGCGTTAAGCAGAGGTCCAGAGTCAGACACCCCCTTCCCCCCCTTCCGCCCAAAGTCGAAACGCCGAATAAGAAAACGCTCACCAGGGGCAGCGCCTGTTCTTTTGACCGCGTGGTCAGGCGGGCCTCCAGGGCCGCTGGCGGTGTGTGCGGCCCACGGGGCCCGCGACTGAACCTCACGTGCGTGGGGTTCGTCATGCACATGGGATTCCACGCGCACGCACATGTGAGGTTCCTCGCGCATATGGATTCAAGTGCACATGTGTTCAATCAAATGAGGCTCCCACACATGGACGTGGAGTTCCACACGAGCTGAGAATCCACACGCATGGGGGGCCCACACTCATGAGTTCCACTCCTATGGGGATCAGAACATGTTGCATGACGAATAGTTCTGGGTCCAAGCGCAGCAGTGGTTTCTCAACGTGCATGGCAGGTCAGGATCACGCTGTGCCCAGTCCTGTATCTTCGCATCCCTCCATCGTTCATGCACCGTCCTCATCGCTAATGCCTTTGAACTGGTGCTGTTTATGTCGTCAGCGCTGCCGTCACTGCCAGCGCTATCTGTCTGTACGGCTCTCGAGGGGCGCATGCATTGCTTCGCGGCTTCGGCTTGTAATCAGTGCAGCTGCGGCTGTCCCTTTGGCCAGGCCCCAGCGCCCCATTTGCGCAGGGGACTGCGCCATGGTGGATCGGGGCTCGTTTCGTTTCCTCCGCCACAGCGAGGGTTTTCTTCTACGAGTGATTTGTGTTTGCGAGTTTTAGACGTCTCTGTGTCCTAGCGCTTCTCTACACTGCGGATACTGGGGGAGTGGGAGGACAGGGGAAGAGGATCCCCCAGATTGGGCAGGTGATGAGATCTTCTGCTGGGCCAAAAGATAAACATAAGTCGTACAGTGTGTTTGGTTCGGTCGGGGGAGTCCGGCCGTCAGGTGGAGCCCAATGGCGGCCTTGAGGCCATGGTCAAGGCGGCACTGCCCTGCCCCCCCCCTCGCGCCGCAGCTCGGCTGGCCGAGTTGTTTCGTTCGGACTGCTATAGTGGGCTGCGGACTCCTGCGTCGAAAGAGGTACCAAGGTCTTTCCCTTTTAATGATGTGTCCAGAGGTCTCCAATGATGGCCTCGCACTCGAGGAATCGATGAGTCGATGTGCGTATTCGGCGGAAGCTGGCTGAGAGCCCGCGGAACCTGACAGACGCAAAACGTGGGGGGCTCCGCCTTCAGTTGGCGCAGAAGCAAAACATACACTCCCGGGAGATTGACAGCTTGTGTGGATTTAGGGTTTCTGGAGCGGGCCACGTGGACCTCGATGGATCCAGGCGGGCCTGCCTGCCTAGCTTTGAACATATTGCGGGCACAACAGGAAGCGCTGCTGCTTGAGTCCTTTGTTGCTGATGCTGCCGCCAGTCGTCCGCGGCTTCTTGATGCTGTTCGCCGTTGCTTGCTGCTGGTTGGTGCTGCGCGCTTTTGTTTGCTGCTGCGTATTGCCAATTCCTGCTTTCGTTTTTCGTTATCGCGCTGCTTCTCCTTTTCCACCTGAGCCTCTTCCTCCTCTTCTTCGCTGCGCCTCCTTACGGCGCCTCCTCACTGCTCATCTTTTCTACTATTCCTTCCTCCTCCTCCTCCTCCGCGGTCCTTTTCCGTGCTTTCTTCCGTTTCTTCCTCGTTGTTTCTCCTCTTCCTCCTGACTCCCAAACCCGTCTTGAGGACACAGTTGCGCGGGCTTCCCGTCGTGTCAGCCCACTTGGGCGTTTCGACCCGGTTGTCGTGTCAATCCGCCTGGCCGTCTTAACCCGCTCGGACGTCCTAATCTGCCTCGACGCTTTACTTCGGCTTGGATGTTTCTCATGGAACCATATTGCGCCATCTGAGGCACTTCTTGGAGCCAAAGGGGCGCGCTTAAGGTAATAACTTTTTCAGCGTCTCTGTTTTCCAGGATGTCTCACGCAAAGGTGCCGTTTTTGGAAACCCGTGCAACTTTTGTGCCCCCAAGGGGTTTTGGGAAGGAAGGCGCGCCAGTGCAACCGACATGCCAGCATGCAGTTTTTCAAGGGAGACAGTCTCGTACAACTTATGTGTCCCAGGAAGGTTCACGGAAGGAAGTTGGCATGTGCAACCTTCTTGCCGCTCTGCTTATGTGTTCCAAGCATGTTCTTGAATGTTGCAGCTTTCTTGGAGCCTCCCTCGGCCATCTCAGACGCCCCGTGAGGTTCATGAGGCAGGCCGCGTAGCACAATGTATCACATATTCCAGAACTCCTGTGCATGTTTTTTTCGCTTCGGGGGCCCTCCTGGGCCATCCTAGACACCTTGCATCCAAAGAGGCATGATCCAACGAACACCACCCTCAGCGCTTCAGTTTCGGCAGGATATCGCACGCACAATTTCATTTTTTTGAATCCCATCGATGCGTCCTGGACATCTGGAGGATTGCTAGAGCTCAGGTTGGGCTCTCTAGGGGCCTTGGAGCTATAGTTGGCCGTCTTAAGCCCCTCGGTGAGACTATGAGGTCAGCGTTGAGAAGCAGCCCCTGTGAATGATCAGTTTCAAAGGATGTCTCGCGCGAGACGGATCTGTTGGCTTTCTAGGGGCCCTGAGGAGGGAAGGGAAGGTGAGAGCCACGCGGGGCAACGGAGGGACAACAAGGATCCAATTCCGCAGGAGGGTGGAGAGCAATCCAAGACGCCCGTCGCCGTCCCAGAGGGCCTCGTGAAGCGCCCAAGAGAAGCCCAATCTGATCCCAACGTGGCCTTAAGTGCGCCGGAGAGACTTCCAGAGAGACCCACAACGCCCCGTGTAAGCGTCTTGATTCACAGGCTCTGTGCGATATTAGCTTTCGTGCAATGCTAGCAGTGATGCCTGGCTCGCTTGTGTGATGCACATTTCTGTCAAGAGCTGACGGTTTCGGACGCTAGCGTTGCTGCTCACGGCGCCAACGTGGACACTCGCATTGCAACTACGCGCATGGCGCAGTCTTCCTCATCGCTGATCGCCGATCTACATTTGTGGTCTGCCCAGCAGAGTCGCAGCAAGCTTCAGTCGTGCTTCGCGGGTGGCGTGGGGAGCGCGCCAGATACGCAGGGCCAACAACGTCGAGAAAAAGTGGGAAAAGAAGATGAGGCGCCAGGAGTTGGAGCGGCTCGAGCAGGAAGAGCGGGAGGAGGCGGAGGCGAAGCGCCGCAAGAAAGAAGAGGATGAGGCACCGGGCGGAGCCCAAATTGGGGCAGCTGGGAGGCGACGAGTCGCACCAACCCTAGCCACCCTTTCCCATTCCGCACTCCCACTGCTCCCGCTGCTGTCGGGATTCTGGCGCGCGTGCTCCGCGTCCTGAGCAGGTGCTTTTTGTGAAATTCCACGAAACAGCCAGGGAAGCATTATTTGAGGGATACCAGGCTTGCAGAACATTTTTAACGCATCGCATTGCCTCACCAGCCCACCCAGAACATATTCGCAGTCGAGCTGCCATCTTTCTTGCCGTTGTTTATCCAAACAGTGCTTGCACTTGGTGTTTCTCATGTTTGTTCTAAGGATAAGGAACTGGACCGTGTTTTCGGTCTTGCGGATATGTGGACGCCGTCGCCGCCCCGTCGCCGCCTCGCCGCCGCCTCGCATAGTTTGTACTGCTCTGTTTAAATTGCAGCACAACCATTGCACCATTTAATTTGCACAGCATAATTTGCACATTTATTGTACCATCATGTATTGCACCAGCCACATGGCTTTCCCCAACATAGATTTCACACATCTATTTCACATACGTTGCGCCACCACATAGATTGCCCCAACATGTATTCTCCTTTCTAAAAACAGGATAGGATCTACCCCCCCGGCGTTATCGACACCCCTTTCGGGTATGTAAATCATATATGATTCTGATCACATGTCCATCCTAAGTATGAAATCACAATGTCAAATGCCAACCGGTATCCCCCCTGAGGGTCCCTTGTAAAAAAAAATTATGCGGTGACTTTTTTGGTTCTAATAAAGCACTTTTGCACGAATCCCTTGCAAAAACTTGGGCGAAGTGCACGCGCGCGCGTCGTCGCGTGCGCATGCCGAAATCCTTCAAAAACTTTCGGTGCCGGATGGATTTCGCAATCAAGTTTCCAAAACACATACAAAAACACAGGGTTTCGCAACACTGATTTGCTAAAAAAGCTTCGCGCGAGCTCTTGCGAAATCTTAAGAAAACCATAGGTTTTTATATATTTTCACAACATGCTCTTAAACGGGCTTCGCGCGTGCATGTCGAAGTCTGTCGAACGCTCTTGCGCGTGTGCCGTCGCGAGAATCCTCTGCAAAAAACGGGACGAAGTGCAGACGCGCGCGTCGTCGCGCGCGTATGCCGAAAACCTTCAAAACCCATTGATTTCGGAAGGATTTCAAAATCGTGTGTCCAAGAAACATACAACCACCCAAGGTTTCGCAACACGGATTTTCAACAAAAGCGTGTACGCGCGCGCTCTTGCGTCGTCGTCGTCGTCGTCGTCGTCGTCGTCGTCGTCGCCGTCCTCCCTCCTCCCGCGTCGTCGTCGTCGTCGTCGCCTACGTCGTCCTCTGTCTTTCCTCGTGTTCGTCGTCGTCGTCTCTTTGGCGTCGTGGTCGTTTCCGTCGTCGTTGTCGCCGTGGTCGTCCTTCCTCCTCCTCCCTCGTCGTCGTCGTCCGTCGTCGGCGTCTCGTCGTCGTCCCTCCTATTTCGTCGCCGTCGTCGTCGTCGTCGTCGTCGTCGTCGTCGTCGTTGTCGTTGTCGTCGTCGTCGTCCCTCCCTCGTCGTTTTCGTCGTCTGCGTCGCCGTCCTTCTTCCTTCTTCGTCGTTCGCGTCGTCGCCGTCCTCCCTCCTCCCTCGTCGTTGTCGTCGTTGTCGTCGTTGCCGCCGTCGTCGTCCTTCCTCCTTTCTCGTCGTCGTCTTCGTTGTCGTCGTCGTCGTCGACGTCTTCGTCGTCGTCGGCGTCGGCTTCGTCGTTGTCATCGTCGTCGTCGACGTCGGCGTCGTCGTCGTCGTCGCCGCCGTCGTCGTCGTTGTCGTCGTCGTCGTCGGCGTCGTTGACGTCGTCGTCGTCGTCGTCGTTGGTGTCGTCGTTGTCATCGTCGTCGGCGTCGTCATCGTCGTCGTCGTTGTCATCGTCGTCGTCGTCGTCGTCGGTGTCGGCGTCGTCGTCGTCGTCGTCGGTGTCGTCGTCGTCGTCGTCGTCGTCGTCGTCGTCGTCGTCGTCGTCGTTGTCGGCGTTGTCGAAATCGTTGGAGACGTCGTCGGTGTCGTCGTAGTCGCTGTCAGCGGCGTCGTCGTCGTTGTCGCTGCCGTCGTCGGCGTCGCTGTCGCTGCCAAGTGCCATTTGGTACCCACCGTCACGGTCTTAAGAGATTTTGCAAACCAAGTTGCGGGTGGGTGGGTGGGATGTTTGCGCGAGCAGTGGAGTGGATAACTCGCTGCGAACAGAAATTAATTGCACCACATAGATTCCTCAACATAGATCGTAGGACATAGATAGTAAAACCTAGGTGGCGCAACATAGATCGCACCACATAGGTTGCACCGCACATATTGCACCATGCAGATTACAACACATATATTGCTCCACGTAGAGTGCACACCCTAGATTGCTAGAACACACACTTTTTGGGGTCCACGCTTGCTAACATGTTGTAGCTTTTGACTTTTTGGGGGGCCCGGGCCCTTTCGGGGGTCTATTGGGGCCCTCTTGGGGGCCTCGGGGCACTCCTGGGGACACCTTGGCGAGCATCGACCAGAAAAGGGGGACGTTCGAATCACACTCGCCCAGTCGGAGCCCGATAAGTCACCTCTTGGGGCCCTCTTAGGACGCTCTTTGGGCGCTCTTGTCGGTCTTCGGGACCTTCTTGGAGACCTTCTGGCCACCTGTCGGGACTGTCTTGGCTCCTTTTTGGAGCCAGCTAGAGGTTTCAGAAGCCCATCAGAAGCGAGAAGGCGAGGGATCACTTATTGTGAAGCAATTTCGATGTTTATAGGCTTTGGCCTGCCGGGGCCATGTGTGGTCACCCTGCGCCGTGGTATGGTGCTGCCGCTGATGCCGCCGCTGCTGCTGCCGCCCCCCTCTCAAAACAAAAAGCACACGCCAGTCGCACGCGTGCTAAAACAACGGAACGACGACAACTTGGATTGCAAATGTGTCTTTCGAGGGCGAGAGCGCAGTACGCATGTTATTCGTCATGCATAGATGGTCGGGCCTGGCTCACTCGTTGATAGGATTCCTCGCTACCAGCGACCATGGTATAGATGTTTTGTTTTTCTTCGCAGCCCACGAATTACTCAGGGTTGGTATGCCAATGGCGTGGATTCACGCAGAGGTCGAGATCTCGCGGTCGAGACTGAACCATGCGCAGCCTCGACGTGCGACGTTGCCGCTGCTGTTTGCTGCGAGATGGGGCGAGCGTGGTTCCTGGGCGCCACCCCAGCCATGCCGACCGTCGTCGCCGTCCTCCCCCTACTCTTCTAACGTCCCTGTGGCCCATCAATTGTCTCAATCGTCTCCTCCCTGGCTCGATCACGCCTCGCATCTCCTCGGCCGTATCACCTCGCCACCCCCTTTCATCAACGTCATCCCCATGCCGCTTCCGTCCGCTGCTGCTGCGGGCGTCAAGGCTCTCAGCCGCGTCGGCGTCCGTCGGTTTCGGTGGCCGGTCTCGGCCTGGGCTGCCCTTGGCCTCCTGTCCTGCTCCCTCTCCTCCCCGGGTCCGGGGCCTACCCGGACCCCGACGTCATGCTTCTTTCAAGGCGCAGCTCCCCACAGGTCTCGACCCATTCGCCGGGGCCGCTTGCTCATCCCGAGTGGTCTTTTGACGGCCCCGAGGCCCGGCAAAGGCCCACGGAGGCCGACAATTAACTTCTCGGAGGGGATTTCGATTGAAATCCTAGGCCTCGTGGTTCCTTCAGCGGTGCCGTTCTTGCTCTTATAGTGAGCGCCCAGCGCACCATAGGGTCGGTGGTCGCCGGACATCACTGCCCACCACTCCACCCCAACCCAACCCGCAGGCCCCAAGTTCCGGGGAACCAAAAACTACATAATCATAAAAGCTTTGAGGTCCGCGCGGGTTTCTCGGATCGGCGCTGGACCTTCCTCCCTGCCGCGCGGAACGCGCCAAGGGCGGCGCCGGAGGTGCCGCTGGGGGGCCCTGTGCCGATCCGGAGAATCCGCGCGGACCTCCGTATTTTTATGCTGATGTCATTGTTTGTTCCCCCACAAGTTGCCCTGCATTCCCAGCGGGGGGTGGGGGGCATCCTGGATTATTCATAATAAACACGGATGGGACCCGTCCGCCCCCTAACCCGAAATTTGGGATTTCGGATTGGGTTGGGGTGGTCTGAGTAGGTCGTCAGGACAGGACGCGGGCCCTCGGCCCCCTTGCCTTCCTTCGCTTCCACATGCGCTCCTCGGGAGCAGCGGCGCCTTGCCACCACGACCTCTTTCCCCTGGAGGGGCGCCCCATTTCCTCGGCGCTGCCTGGCGGGCCCGGAGCACTGGTTTCGCTGGTGCCTAGCGCACCGAGGGGTGACCATTGGCGCTCGCCCGCTCGTGCGTCTCTTTCCGTCGGGCGGCATTCGAACGCCTGGCCCGGCCAGAGTGCTGCCCCTTCACCTGGAGGGCCGCCTGGTCGTGGCCATTCCCGCAGGCTCGGCCGGACCACCCCTCTCTGGTGCGGCCCACACATGTGGGCCATCGGACCGGCGCAGGCGTCGGGGCTGCCGCTGCGGCCATGCCCAGTTACGTGCACACAAGATTCTCTCCCTGCCCGCTTGCTGGTGCAGCCTGAAAAGGGGGGACGTCCGCTCTCGCTGGCGCCTGCGCTTTCTCTGCTGGGCGGCGCTCACTTCGACCCGCGTGGCCTCGCTGCCGCCGCTGCGGGGTACAACTCTTCGGCGGCCACAGCGGCTGGCGACACGGCACGCCCCCCCACCCCCCACTGGACGTGCCCCGCCCCCTCCTGCGGCAGGGTGCAGCCTCCTGGGGAATCTAGGCCCTGATTGGCGGTGGCTCGGCCAACACCAGCATTGGCCGAGCCCCAGCCTACCGCCTAACGCGGCCCCCATGGCCAGGTGTACCCCTAATTGCCCTCAGGCCGGGCCTGGGACTCTGCTGGTGGGCTTACCCCCGCCCGGCTTCCCCTCTGGTGCGGCCCACGCTCGCTGCCCAGGCCTGGTGCGGGCGAGGGCTTGCGCTGGCTTTCGTTTTCCGGCCGCTGCCTTTCAGTGCGCAACCTTGTTCTTCCCCTGCCTGGCTGTACTTTTACGCAGGGGGACCAGTCCTCGCGGTGGCTCTCGCGCCGCTTGTCTTGTGATCTGCACCTCGCGGGAAGGGTACATTTTTCTGTTAATGGTGGCGCACATCGTGGCTAGACCGCCTCCGCGCGGCTAGGTCCGTTTGGACTGGTCTGCGCCTACGTAGCAGGGCTGCGGGCGCCACCTCCTTTTCGCCCGTGACGGCCTTTCGCGTACGGTTGGCCCTTGCGCTGGCCTACGCCCTTTTGCTCTGCTCCGTTTCTTTTCCTGCCTATTCGCTGCTCTTCGTGAGCTTGAGCAGCGTCGCATGCTGCCGCAGTAGGCTTGTGGCCATGCCCCCGCAGCCTGTTGTGCCCACCCGGACCGGTTTCTCCTTGTCCTTGTCGGTGCGCCTTTACAGTCGGGCAGCATCAGTTCAGTCTGCGCCTCGTCCGCTGCCGAGGGGCTTGTCTTTAATGCCACGATCCTGCCGCAAGTTGCCTCCTCCAGCCTTTGTGCTCCAGTCCGCTGGTGGTGCTTTGCCGAAACTTTTGTATCTTCATGGCCGCAAGGGTATCTTCTCATGCGCGCGCGTTCTCACGTTTTTTCTGCATGTGAGTGCCACCATCCAGTGCACCCATTTTCTACGTCAGATGGAAATGCGCCTAAGCGTGTCCTGGCTTAGCGCTTCGCGACGGTGTCGTCACCCGCGCCGCTAGAGAAAAAACGTGTGTGTTCTCCGCTCCGTGCCCACTTGTGGGTTTCGCCTCCTTTAGTGGCCACTCTGCGGTGTACCCTCGCCCTTGCCCCGAGCCATGCGTCGCGCTTGCATCGCATCGACCCATATGGGAGAGTGTACGTACGTATGTGTGTGCGATTGTGTGTATGTGAGTGAATGCGAGTGTGTGTGTATGTGTGTGTGTGTGTGCGTTCGTGTGTCTGTGTTTGTGTGTGTGTGTTTGTGTGTGTGTGTATGTGTTTGTGTGTTTGTGTGTGTGTGTGTGCGTGTGAGTGCGTGTGAATGCGTGTGTGTGAGTGTGTGCGAATGTGTGTGTGTGTGTGTGTGTGTGTTGTTGTTGTTGTTGTTGTTGTTGTTGTTGTTGTTGTTGTTGTTGTTGTTGTTGTTGTTGTTGTTGTTGTTGTTGTTGTTGTTGTTGTTGTTGTTGTTGTTTGTGTGTGTGTGTGTGTCTGTGTGTGTGTGTCTGTGTGTGTGTGTGCGATTGCGTGTGTGTGTGCTTGTGCGTGCGAGTGTGTGTGTGTGTGTGTGTGTGTGTGTGTATGTGTGTGTGTGTGTGTGTGTGTGTGTGTCTGTGTGTGTGTGTGCGTTCGTGTGTGTGTGTGTGTGTGTGTGTGTGTTTGTGTGCGTGTGAGTGTGTGTGTGTGAGTGTATGCTAGTGTGCGTGTGTGTGTGTGTGTGGGTTTGTGTGTGTGCGTGCGAGTGTGTGTGTGTGTGAGTGCGGTGAGTGCGCGTGTGTGTGTGTGTGTGTGTGTGTGTGTGTGTATGTGTGTGTGTGGGTGTGTGTGTGCGCGCGTGTGTGTGTGTGTGTGTGTGTGTGTGTGTGTGTGTGTGTACGTGTGTGTGTGCGAATGTGCGTGTGTGTGTCGTGTGAGTGCTGTGTGTGTGTGTGTCTGTGTGTGTGCGTGTGTGTATCTGTGTGCGTGTGTGTGTGTGATGCGTGTGTGTGCGAGTGCGTGTGTGTGTGTGTGTGTGTGTGCGCGCTGTGTGTATCGTGTGTGTGTGTGTGTGCGCGGTGTGTAGAGTGTGTGTGTGTGTGTGTGTGTGCGTGTGTTCGTGTGTGTGTGTGTGTGCCCAGATGCTCTCGCGCAACCGCAGTGGCTGTATCAGTAGTGATAGCAACCGTTGCAGCAGCACCAGCAACGAGTGGAGGACTGTGATAAGGCGGCGAGGGGAGCAGAGCAGGGTTACCCGCGGGACGCATTCACGAGAAAACGAGGACCAAATTCCACAGGACTGGCAGGCGCAATTGCCTCGCTGTGGGTTTGATGAGCTCTTCCCCAAAGGAGGCAGCCCGCAGGAACGTACCCCAGTTCGTGCCATCGCCGAACGCTGTGCTCGACCCGAAGGCGTACTTCGCGGAGTTCTCCCTGTTCCAGGATCGTGTGATACAAAATGTTCGTTCGCGGGGGAGGCCCCCTCCACCTTGTCCTCTTCCTCCTCCCCCTCCTCCTCCTACTCCTCCTCCTCCCCCAGAGCCCCGTTGCGGTCTTCTGGGATTCGCTCACTTGCGACCGTGGGACTGCGCAGAGGCTTCGGTCCCCCCTCAGCGGTCTCTCTTGTCAACGGACTCATCTTGAGCTCATCTGATCGTCAACAATTTGTACACGTATGGTATACGACGCTGATGCTGAGATTCCCCCAACGCGGTTCCCATGACTCGATTCTCCACGTTATCGATGCGCCCCCCGGCAGAAGCAGCAGCAAGCCGCCGCCTCGTGCTTGCCTGAGCTCTGCCATCATGATCCGATCAGCCCCAGCGGCCCGATTGGCCGATGCACTTGTCGTGCTTGGCTTTGCTCGTCGGACCTCTTGTCGCTGATCTTGATCTTTGGCCATTCTGCATTTCTGCATGGTGCGTCTGCTTCGGCAGGGCAGGTGCTCAGATCGCCCTGTGCCCCACTTAGCAGCGCCGAGGACTGTCTGTGGCGGCGGCGGCAGCTTGACAGTCTGGGCCTTCCCCTCCTTCCCTTCACCGTTGCCTGTATCTTAAAAGTGTTGCTACCGGCGCTTGGTGGCGGTTGGGATTGGCAAGGGTGTTTGTGTGTGTGTGTGTGTGTGTGTTTGTGTGTGTGTGTGTGTGTGTGTGTGTGTGTGCGTGCGCGCGCGCGCGTGTGTGTGTGTGTGTGTGTGTGTGTGTGTGTGTATGTGTGTGTATGTGTGTCTGTGTCTGTGTGCGTGCGTGCGTGCGTGTGTGTGTGTGTGTGTGTATGTGTGTGTGTGTGTGTGTGTGTGCGTGTATGTGTGTGTGTGTGTGTGTGTGCATCGGAGGTCTCTGGAGGGGCGTGAGAGTAGGAAAATGAGGATGAATGGAGGTGGAGAGGGATGCCTCGGACCGCCAGCGATTTGTTGAGCGGCGGTGCCTTTCACACGTCGGAGTTTTGTCGTGGTCGCTGCTCTGGCCAGAACTACTGCTGGTGAGTGACTAGCCGCCGACAACTCTTATCGAGCGAGCCGTCGTCGCCTCTCGCGAGCTGCGTGCAAGGCGATCACTTTTTGATGCTTCGCGTATCCCCACCAGCCCATTCATAAACAATCAATGCCCTGGCGAGTTGCCTGGATCAGGGAATGCTTGCGTAAGCTGATAACGAAGCCTCCCCCAGGAGCCAAGGAAGCGTCAGTAAGGCTTCAGAAAGTTCCATGGGGCGCGATATTCGCTCTCCTCAGCCCCTGCCGATCAGGATTCGTTCTCAGATCTCTGGCTGGCCGGATCTGGGATCGGGTCTGGGCCTCGGATCGCCCTGGATCGTTGTGGGTTGAGGGGGCAGAGAACGAGGGAGGAGGGTGAGTGATGATGGTGATTGTGGTGGTGGTGATGATGATGATGGTGATACTGATGCTGCTGCTGATGATGGTGATGATACTGAAGACAATTATGATGATGATGATGATGATGATGATGATGATGATGATGATGATGATGATGATGATGATGATGATGATGATGATGATGATGATGATGCTGATGATGATGATGATGATGAAGATGATGATGTGATGATGATCATGTGATGATGGTGATAATGATGCTGATGCTGCTGCTGATGGTGGTGATGATGTTGATGCTGATGGTGGCGATGGTGATGGTGATGGTCATGGAGATGATGATGGTGATGGTGATTCTGAGAATTATGATACCGATTACGTATGGTGATGGTGATGAGGATGACGATGGCGATCGTGCTGCTGCTGCTGATGATGATGATGCTGATGCTGATGCTCAGGCTGGTGCTGATGCTGTTCATACTCTATTGATGATGGTGCTGGCGATGATGCTGATGATGGCGACGATGCCAGTAATGATGATGATGATGCTTATGATGATGCCGCTGATGATGATGACGACGCTGACGATCATGCTTATACTAACAATGATGATACTGCCGATGATGAGGATGCTGTTGATGATGCATGTGATACTGATGATGATGGTGATGTTGTTGATGATGGTGTTGATGGATGATGGTGATGCGATTATGGTAATTCTGATGATGCTGATTCTGGTAATGGTTATGATGATGCTGATAAAGATGATGATTATGATGCTGATGATGATGGTTATTGTGATAGTGATGCTGATGCTGATGCTGTTGCTGCTGAAGATGGTGATGGTGGCTGATGATGATGAGGAGGATGAGGAGGAGGAGAAGGAGAAGGAGGAGGAGGCAGCATTGTCGGGGCAGACTGGCTGGGAGGCATTGCGCTCGACTTGCGCGAGCGCGGCAATGTCCTCGGGGTCGTCCGCAACGTATTCATTTGATTATGTGCGCTGGCGTCTGCTCGCGGTAGGGATCGACTCGGCTCCGCACCCTCGAGGGCGACTCCCCGTCTCCCCCGATTGTGGTTTGGCTCAGCCCCTTCTATTGCGCATAAGGCTCGATCGGTAGAATTCCCTGGTTTCCAAGAGGCGCGAAGCCCGTTGTGTGTGATCCTGCGAGTGGCCACGATGGAAATCGCTGGTTGTGCTGAGGCACCGGCAGGGCATCAACGCTCGCCGCGCAGCTGGTAGGCCACAGCAGGCCGGCCCTTTGCAGTACCAGCCTCCACGTCAACCCGTTGCCAGCGGCACGGCGCTGGCAGGGGCGGTAGGCGGCGGGGTACGTCTGTCAGGTGTGGCGGCCTCAGACTCAGGGCACCGGGTTGACCCTTGCGTTTGCCATCCTCCTCGCTCCTCCTCCACTTGCTGCTGTTCTTCCTTCCGTTATCGTCCTTATTTTCTTCGTTGTACTGTTGCCGATGTTGCTATTCTTTGTCCAGCTGGGGGTAGGAGGGAGTCTTCGGCCCCGCACGGAAGCAAGGAGGATATGAACACGCATTTTCTCTTCACCCTGCAAAAGCCACGGTTTTGCGTCAGTGAAGAAGGATGGGGCACGGGATGCAGGGCAAAGTTGCTGGAACTCCGGGAGGGCTTGGAGTTAGTGCATCGTGCAAGAATGTGGGACATCGTGGATGCACATATGAGCCTCGCAGGGAGTTTTTTCAGGAGGCGTTTGGATCTTCCCCACTCGTCTGCTCAGGCCCAAGCTGCGAACGCCAAAACGTGCATTCCATGAGGCGAGCGACTCGCACTCGACTTCTTTTCGTCGTGCACAGACCTCGAGACGTTCGGGTGGACGCTGTAGGAGAAGCTGGAAAGTGGTACAGCCAGCTTGTGACACACTGTCCAATGTGCAAGTGCACGCCAGCCAGGCAGCCTCCCCTCCCCCCAATTGGGACCCCATTTGCCTCACTCGTCCTCTCGCTTTCTGCTTTAAACTCAAGCTTACTCGTATTCAGACTCATTCCCATTCAGACATGCTGGTACTCAAACCCGCTCGTACTCCGACCCACTCATCTTCAGATCCACTCGTCCTCAGACTTGTCGTGCCCAGACAGGTTTGATCGCATCCTGTGATGGCCATACTAAGACCAGCCATAGAGATCCACTGCTACGACTGGTCTGATTCATACTGACAACTCATGATCACCGCGATGTAGCAGGCATCGCCTTGATATCACCACCCATGATCATTCGTTATCATCGCTCATGATCACCGCGAAGATCACCACTCAAGCTTACCGTTCGCACTCAGGTTGTCTGGAACTCTCAAGCGAAACGTCTGTTCTGGCACAGTAGACAAGTCTCTTCTCAGCGTCCCAGAGTGACTCCGCTGTAGTAGCGAGTATGGCACTTGAGACGCCCAAGGAGGTGTCGACCAGGGATGTTTCACAAGCCCGTTCGCATTCAAATTTGCGGGAACCCCTCAGGCGAACTGTTTGGGTTGGCCCAGTACGCGAGTCTCCCTCGGGCGTCCTATGGCCACCGCCCATGATCCGCTGGAGAAATTTGGGCCACCCGAAGGGTGTCGACCAGGTGTGTTTCACGGAACCGTTCGCGCTCAGATTGTTGGGACGTCTCAGGCGACAAGCTGGTTGAGGGCGAGTTTCTTTTGTCGACCAGGGGTGTTTCACAGGGCCGTTCGCACTCAGCTTGGTGGGAACTGTGTCAGGCGAAACGCTTACTTTGGTCGAGTCTCTTCCCACAGCTTAATGACAACCGCGATGCAGCAGGCATTGCAATTGAGCCACCCAAGGGGGTGTCGACCAGGGCTGTTTCACGAGCCTGTTCGCTCAGATTGGTGGGACATCTCTGACGAGCCGCTTGGTTTGGTCTAGTATCAGATTACATGACCATGGCTCCGTGACCACCGCGATTCAGCACGCACTGCAGTTGTGCCATCAAAGGAGGTGTCGTCCAGGGGTGTTTCATGGAACCGTTCGCTTAGGCTGGTGGGACCTCTCAGGCGAAACCCCTAGCTTGGTTTAGTACCAGAGTCTTTTACCAGAGCTCCATGACCACCGCGATTCAGCACGCACTGCATTTGAGCCATTTAAGAGGGTGTCGAGCAGGGGTGCTTCACGGCCCTTTCGCGCCCAGATTGCGGGGACCTCTCGGGCGCAACGCCTGTTTCTCTCCACTTGGGGGGCCGCCAGGAGGTGTAACACGGGCCTGCTCGCGCCCATATTGTGGGGACCTCCCAGGCGCTCAAATTGCAGGCTCCACTCACGAACGTCCAGGTTTACTCATGCCCCGATCCAGTCACACTCAAGCCCACCCATACCCAGAGTCGCTTATATATTCAAGCACACATGCTCAGGCTTACTCATACGCGTTCATCCTATCCACATCCAGGCACTCATACGCAGACCCACTCATCCTCAGCTAGTCGTGGTCAGACTCGCTCACACTCAGACCCCCTGATCGTCAGATGCTCAGAAAAAAGAGAAAACGTGCTAGAACATTGATTCGCAGGTCTCCGCGTCGCATATTTGTCAGTGTTGCTTGTAGGTGGAGCTTCAGGGGGTGGTGCGGTGGTGGACGACGACGGGTGGGGTGCGCCAAGCGAATACTCGCAGGCCCGGTCGTCGTTGTTGCCCTCTACCATCGAGCTCTCTACCGGGCCCCGGCCAGATCATCATCTAGGTCTGGCCGCTTCCATATCGAACGCGTTGTCCCACGACACCTCGTGCGAGCTCCCTTCTACAGGGAGTTCGTAAAACGTAGAAACTATGCTGGCGTTTCTACTGGGGACTTCCAATGTTTAGGGGGACGTTGCTCTTGGGCGGCAGCTCTCTCAACTCGTGTTTGGCCAGTCTCATGCCCATGCCGAGGCGGCAGCGCGGCCGCCTGTGGCAGCGGGCGCGCCACGGGGCTCTGCCGGGCCTGTTTCTGGCATGGGCCTGCTTGGCGGCTACGAGTCCGACTGATCGGGCGCCGCGCCATCAAGGAAATAGCGTCGTCTGTGGGCGCTTGAGGGGAGGTCCGAACAGCCCGCCCCACCGACGAAGTCTCCTGCACTTTCGACCTTCGCCCTCTCCTTTTCCCCCGGGGCGACGGCGGCGGCGGCGGCGGCCTCCTGTGTTTGTCCTTGCTCATTTTCTTCAGCATTGCGCCATCAACGAGCGAAATTTCCATTCAATTTCCCGCTCGCCCGTCAGCCCTCACCTCCGCCCGTCGTCGTCGTTGTCGTCGTTGACGACGTCGTCGTCGACGTTTTTGCGATTGTCTTTGTCGCAGTCGTCGTCACCGTCGTCGTCGTTGTCGGTGTTTTTCTATTCCCTTTCCCTCAACCTTGTCGTCGGAGTTTGGATGTTGGATCGCAGTGGAACGGAGAGCCCCCCCACCGGGAAATCGGTTTTGGTTTCGTGTTCGTGTCGTGTATGCGGGCGAGGCGAAGCTGCGGGGGCGCGCGAGAGGAATGACACCACCGTCGCAAGGGAGATTTGGATGCAGTGGACCGCCCCTCCGCCCCGGTGGGCGCGCGGTGGCCCGGGGTGTCTCGCCGTGGTGTTCTGTGGTGTCGCGTTGGTGACCCTTCGGTGTCCCGTCGGTGTTCCGTCGGCGGTGTGTGAGCGGTGGCTGGGGCTGTTCCGACCTGATGCCGATAGTGAAGACGATAGTGAGATCGATAATGAGATCGCAAGAATGGGATGGATATTGAAATCAAAAGTGACATGGGTTATGATATAGAATGTGGGAACGATAGTGTCATTACATCGCAGCGCAACGTCGCCATCACGTGTCGTCGCTAACTCGAGGGCGCGCTACCAGCATCGTCATCATCACACCCATCGCATTTGCCAGCAGTTGGTTCTTTCCCCCCTACCCCCAACCTCCTTATCACCCGAAGGGTGGTCGTATAGGTGTTATCACAGAGCGAGATTTGCATTCAATGTCCCGCCGGCCAGCTTTAATATCCCGCCCGTCGTCATCGTTATGCTGTTTTTCCCTACCTAGGCTCTGCCTAGAGGGTTCTTACTCGCTGGGCTTCAATGGGGCCAGGCAGTGTTCCTCGCCCCGGGCGGTTCCCCCAGTATCCGCCCCGCGGTTCCCCCAGTTGCGCCCCCTGGATTCACCCAGCTTAGCTTAGCTTAGCTTAGCTTAGCTTAGCTTATCTCATCTTAACTTAGCGTCGCTTAGCTTAGCTTAGCTTAGCTTAGCTTAGCTTAGCTTAGCTTTGCCTAGCCTAGCTTAGCTTCGCTTAGGTTAGCTTAACTTAGCTTAGCTTAACTGAGCTTATCTTAGCTTAGCTTAGGTTATCCCAGCTTGGCTTAGCTTAGCTTAGCTTAGCTTGGCTAAGCTTAGCTTAGCGAAGCATAGCTTATCTCATCTTAACTTAGCTTAGCTTAGCTTAGCTTGGCTTAGCTTAGCTTAGCTTAGCCTAGCTTAGCTTAGCTTAGCTTAGCTTAGCTTAGCTTAGCATAGCATAGCATAGCTTAGCTTATCATCGCTTAGCTTTAGGGCAACGGCAACCGCAAAGGCAATACTAAAAGCAAAGGCAATGTACAGCAACAGCAACACCAACGCGAACTTGTAGATGTATATGTAGAGGTAGGTGTAGGTGTAGGTGTAGATGTGGATGTAGATGTAGATACAGATGTAGATGTAGGTGTAGATGTAGGTGTAGATGTAGATGTAGATGTGAGTCTCGCTCTTGATGTTGATGTAGATGTAGATGCAGGTGTAGATGTAAATGTAGCTGTCGGTGTAGATGTATATGTTGCTTTCTTAAATGCTCCAACTCCTAGGTAGGGTCGCACTGGGATAATCCTAATCTTTGAGCCTTCAGAGCGGGAGTCACGGCAGGCCCTCGGGGGAAGCGAGCACGCATAACAACTACGAGCCAATGATTCGGCAGGCTCTCTTGGTCCCAGCCCCTGCCGCCCTTGGGCCCCCCGCCGCCGATGTGGCCTTGAGGGGCCTTTCTGGCTCAAGCTTCGCGCTCTCGAGCAGGCGCTCCGCTCTCGACTCTCCGAGCAAGGGCGCCGAGTCAAGGCTCGATGGCGACCGGGGCCAAGCGCCCGCCATCGGACAAGGCCGCTGCCGCGGCCTCCTCTGGTTCTGGCACGGCAGCGCCCGCGTGTGCTTTGCCGCCCAAGCGCTGCCGCAAGACGCTCAAGTCTTGCTTCGTGTGCAAGACGACGGCCAAGGGCGCTGGGGGGAATCGTTCGGCGATGACCTCAATATTGCCCTCCTCCCCCCTCCTTCAATTTCCTACCTACCTTCTTGTCCTCATCGTCTCTCCTATCTCCTCTTCTCCCCTTGCTTTCCCCCTCCTCCTCCTCGGCCCCCCTCCTTCCCGCCCTCCCCCTATCCCCTCGAGGCCCTCATTCCTCCTTCCCTTCCTCATGCTGCGCCGCAGGAGGTCGAGATGGCCGCGGGCGCGCAGTGGCCCGATGATTGCCGCATCAAGTCAGACATGTGCCAGCAGTGCTCCGAGTGGAAGGAGGAGCATCTGCCCGCGATGACGAGCATGGAGGTGCACCAAGAGATCACTGGGGACGAGTTCCTGGCGATGGAGACCGCCGCGGGGCAGGCCAAGGATGATGGGGGAGCAGGACTGTCTCATGCCGATCGAGGCCATCGATCGCATCGGCGTCCAGGTGGAGATGTACGACGACTACGACTTGCTCGAGTGTGCGGGCTTCGCTGCCACGACTGGCAAGACGCCGAAGGCTCAGAAGGTGGAGACCCTCAGTGTCCCAACGGCTGGCAACGTCGGCGTCGAATCTGCGCATCATCCGAACCCGATCAGCGTGCGCAAGCGCATGCGGGTGATCGGCAAGTTCGGCGCCGAGGTCAAGGAGTTGAAGATGGCCCCAGACAAGCGCGCCATCCCGAAGCAAGGCAGCCTCATCAAGTCTACGGCTTGCACCTTCATCCGCAAGCACGGCATCGCGAACCTGTCCAGAAGGAGGAAGCTGGGGCCAGTCGACGAGGCGGTGGGGGACCCCAGGACTCCTATTGGGAAGGGTGGATCTCCCTTTGTCAGGAGCTCGGGCGGCTTGCTCGAAGCGGCGATGGAGTCGGGGGGCCGCGCGGGGGCCGAGTCTGCTTCCGGGTGCGCGCCCATGCACGCCGAGGATGGCGATGCCCCGAACAATTCCGAGGACCCCGGGTGCACTGGAGCATCGGGCTCGCCCCACAGGAGCCCTAAGACACCGACTGATTTCCTGAAGAGGCTGCAAGCTTAGGGGCTCGCAGGCTTGCTGGAGGAATCGCCGAGTGGCAGCGCGGACTTGGGCCCTGAGAAGTACATCAAGAGAGAATTGCCGCCGAGGGGAACAGCCGAGCATAGGATTCACAAGACGCCCGTTGCTGGCGTTCCCATCGGCCCGAAGGCGCAGCACCCCGCCAGTCAGATTGCGATCCTTCCTTTCGAAGCTGCAGGGGAACGCCCGCAAGAAGATGAAGCAGCACAGGGGCCTCATCCAGATGTGCCAGTAGATCCTCGACGGCCCTGCCCAGGACATAACGCGCGGTGGCTTACAGGACAAGGTCAAGCTGCTACACAAGGCAGTGGAGCACGGCCCCCCCGAACACGAGCCCGCGCATCAAGGGCGCGCCCTGAACCATCATTGCAGGGAGTTCGAGCGGACGGCGGCGGGGTGGACGCCGAGGGCATATGCGGCGTCGTGAACTGGACTCGCACTGGCGGCGAGGCGGCCTTCAACCCCAAGCAACCGATCCTCGTTAACAGCTCAATGACGGACAAGGCGCGGGCCGATTTCTTCGTCTCGAAGTTGTTCGGGGGCGTGATCGCGCCGTGGTTGGAGGAATATCCAGGTTCCGAGAGCATCCTCGATTTCGCCATGGTCGCCATTGAGAAGTGGAAGACCACCGGGGATGCAGAGTGCGGTGAGCTGTCGCTGTGCGCGTCCAGGGCTGCGCCGCGATCGATGCAAGTGCTCGTGCGCACAGCCGATTCGACTGTGGCGACTGGTACTTTCATGAGGATATACGACGACGCCCAGTTGATCTTGGATGCGTCAGCCAAGACAGGCGCGGCCCCGTCGGCGTGGCAGACCGTCGGCCTCGCCTGCGTGGGCAGCCAGAACTGGGGCCAAGGGCTGAAGGACCTGGCTGCTAAGAAGGACGTGCTGAAGGGGATCGTGCCGAATATCCATGCGAACTTGGAGGTTCTTGGCGGCGTCGTCTGCGCCACCGTCGCCAGCGCCGAGAAGCTGAGACACATTGTGGATGACCTTCCTCGCTTCCGCGCCAAAGAGGCGCAGCGCAGGGCGAAGCCGAAGAGCTGGAGCGCCGCGTCGCCAATGAGGCTGCTGTGTTGATCATGCATCGCGAAGTGCGCCAGTTGTTGAAACGGCGGCCCCGACGAGGTCAAGGGCCAGGGCGTCGCCATGGGGGGCGTCGACGCCTTCATAGAGTCGGCGAAGAGAGCGCGGTCGAACTGCGTTCAGACCGAGGACTTCGGGGCCGCAGTGGAGGCCCTGAAGGTTTACAGGCGGAACATCGACACGTCGCTCCGCGCGAACGCCATCGAGGACGCCGTCGAAACCTACTTGCCCTTGGACCCTGCCACGTAGACGGCCCTCGCCGACACCTTGGTGCCGTGGAGAGGGCACTGCTGTCCTCGCCTGCAACAGCGTCGACGCCAAGGTCACCGTCTCCTCGGGGCAACGGCGCAGCCGAAGCTCGCCGGGCTCCAGCGCGAGAACATGCGCCTTACGACGGCGGTCAAGAAGATGGGCGGGTGCGAGCCAGTGGCGAAGACGTGCGAGGACATCCATGATTGCGCCAATATCAAGATCAGCCAGATCGCATCAGACCTCGACTCGACGGGCGTGGCGAGCACCGTCGAGCAGATGACGAAGCTAACAACGGGCATGGAGGATGACGCGATCATCTCTATGCGGCGCCTGCTCCACGACGTCGCCAACATCGAGGACGTGATGAAGAACATCGC